GTTTTCCCCTGTGCCAGAACGCTGCCCATATTGTATCGGCCCACTATACCATAGCTGGGGGTCCCCTCCCAGACTGGTTTGGGAGAGCTGTTCCCCGCCTTGTCTCCGTTCCATCAGGCACTCTTCCACTTGAACGGCTTATTAGGGAGGCTCTTTGTGGTGTAATTGGATTTATCCCCTTGTTCGTTGCCAATGAAAATGTCATTTAGCTAGAGGGAGGTGCCCATTCTTCTCCAATTAAATTCAGTCATCTCTTGAGAGAGTGTGACACTATTCAGGCTGTAACAAGCAGCTGCAACTGGGGTTGCTGAGGAAAATATGCCCAGCAAAGCTCACTTCATTCCTGGCAAATTAGGTGGCCTGAACCCAGTGTTTCTCAATCTTGTTGGCTTTAAGATGCTTGGACTTCAACTCCCAGAATTTCCCAGTCACCAATGCTGGCTGTGGAACTCTGGGAGTTGAAGCCCTCACATTTTGAAGACAACGGGTTGGGAAATACTGCTTTAATTTGTGGGCCCTTCCAATTCAGAGAGTAAGAGGAATGTTTCCTGTATTTGCTATAGGGGACTGACTGCTAATTGAGTAGGCATGTTTTTCAGATCCTGATCATCATCCAGCAGTCCCTGAGTTTATATCTCACATTTGCAGTGATTCCCTTTAAGACATCTGGCCCTTCCCTTCAAGTTCCACTCCTAAAACTTTCTACATAACTATATACCGACCGAAAATGCTAGGATGGGCTGGGCGGGACAGAGAAGCAGATCTATTCTAGAATCCGGAGGGAAGAATTTCATTTGCCCAGGCTGATTGATCTCCTGCAATGAAGCTGTGTAGGGAGGCTAGGCAGAACAATTGTGTATTTCCAGGGTGTGTCTATGGTTGTGTGCCTGTGTGTCAAGTTGGTGTTCACAAGCATTGTCGGTTTTGGATCCCTTCCTGAGGATGCTTCCAATTACCAATCATTTTGAATGTTACTCAGTTTTGAGTCATAATCGTAGTTAAACAACCCAAAATTGGGTGCTTGTTAATAGTCACGCTTTTATGATAGTTGTCGTGTCCTTGGTTCAATGGGATCACCATTTGTAATCTTTCCCAGGAGGCTTCTTGACAAGCAAACTCAATGGAGAAAGCTGGATTCACTTAACGTGACAAAAAGACCATATAAATTAGTTGAAACTCACTTACTTGATTGCATCATTTAGCGATGGAAGTTCTCTCCCCAGTTGTGATGACCTGCAAGTACAACAGAAGTTTGTGATTCTGAGCAAAACACGAGATGGTGTGAATGTGCAAATAGTCAAGGTAACACGTATCGCTCTAAAATTCTGTGTGATAAAATATTCCCCCAAATCCCTGACTTATGTGAATGAAAACGAGAACAGCGTATTAAGAATATCAGTCAGGAGTGGGATTCTACCAGTTTGCACCTATTTGCTAGAACCGGTTGTTAACATTCTAAGCAGTTCTGAGAACTAGTTGTTGGAAGAAATTACTGGCCTAATCCTGTAAGTAAGGCAGGAAGGAAACATTCTGGTTTTGCTTATAGAAACTGCCTCTTCATTAACCCTTATTACATTCTTGGCGGGACTAGACTTCCTGTCTCAGGAACTTCTCTGGAGTTTTTTTCCCCTCCTTTGCTGGTACTTTGCTTGTGTGGAGTGACCATTCAAAATTACAATGGCACTGAAAAAAGTGACTTATGACCCTTTTTCACACTTACGACTGTTGCAGCATCCCCACAGTCACGAGAGGCCAGGCGAGGAGATGCGTGCCTCGATGTGAGTGATATTGAGTTGGCCATGCCCAGCCAATAACATGACCACCAAGCCATGCCCACCACCTAAGCCACAGAACCGGTTGTTAAAAAATTTGAATCCCACCCCTGATATCAGTGTTAGTAAAACAGACTTAAGAATGCAGGGCTAAATGAAAATCTGAACAATCTTTCTGTGGGAAGCCCCCGCTCCCTCCTAGAAGAATGAAAGATTTTGGGAAACATTAAAAAAGGCAGATTACATTTCCCTAAAGGAGAAATGGAGAAAATATAATTTTAGAGGCAGAAAATAGCCCCCAAGTCTTTCTTAATAACCCACAGCGGATGGGTTAAGACAGTGATGGCAAACCTTTTTGTTGTGATGTGCCAGATGTGTGCCTGCTGGCACCCACAATACAATGCGCCCCTCCCCCCTGTACATGCACGCTCAACATCCCCACCCCACCCTCTCATCTGCACTGTGCATGCGTGTACCTCCCAGCTGATTTTTGGCCAGTTTGAGGCCGTTTTTGCCCTCCCAGAGAATCGAGGAAAGCCTCTGCAGCCTCAGGAGGCCGAAAAACGGACCTTCCAGAAATACCGGAAGTGTTTGTTTTCAGCCTCTGGAGGGCCTCTGGAGCCCAGGGGAGGTTCGAGGGAAGCCTCTGTAGCCTTGGGAGGCTGAAAACAGGCCCGTTTTGGCACTTCTGATATTTCCAGAAGGCCTGCTCTTCGGCCTCCCAAGGCCGCAGAGGCTTCCCTCGAGCCTCAGGAGGGCGAAAACAGCCTCAAAATCAGCTGGGAGGCGCGTGCATGTGCGGTGCAGGTAAGTTTGGCTGGGGCTTGCATGCTTGCATAAATGGCTCTGCGTGTCACCTGTGGCATGTGTGCCACAGCTTCGCCCTCATGGGGATAAGAGATAAAGAGCTTATTGAAAGAGATAAAGAACTCATTGAAAGAGGAAGACAACTACCTAGATCACTCTATTCATAAGCAAAGCAAATACTGCAGGTAGAAATCCATTCAAGACAAAATATTTCAAAACTCCTTGGCAGAATGCTAGGATTAGAACAAGCAGCCCCTCACCCAAGATCCAATGCAGGACAAAAGCCATTAGCCACAATAAGAATTGCCTAAAACCCTTTCAGAACACAAGTCCCTTCACTGCACCACCCCCAGAAGAGTCCAAGCTTCAAAGTCACAGAAACCTATAAAGATCCATCCACTCATTCAGCCATTTTGTCAACTGCCCAGAATCACCTGTGGTTGGTGGTTCTGCTTCATCAATAAACCTTTTTTTTCCAATCAGCCTCCATGTTTTCAGTGTCTTTCTCCCAGCTTGGAACTGAACCAGATGGATTTTCCTTCCAACACTTCTTAGTGAAAATATTTTTAGTACCAATTCCTTAGAGACAAAACTGTGTGTGTGTGAGAGAGAGTCTTGTTTTGCCTCCATGGATTCTCACTCAGAAAGCTCAAACTGCCCAAGGAGCTGCTGATACAGTTCTACAGAGGAATTATTGAGTCTATCATCTGCACCTCTATAACTGTCTGGTTTGGTTCTGCAACCCAACAGGACAGAGACAGACTTCAGAAAGTAATTGAAAGCAGAAATTGAAAGAGAGCAGAAAAAACAATTGCTACCAAGGAACTGAGGACCTGTATACTGCACGAGTCAAAAAGAGGGCTGTGAAAATATTTACAGACCCCTCACATCCCGGACATAAACTGTTTTAATTCCTTCCCTCAAAATGACCCTATAGGGGACTGCACACCAGAACAACTAGACACAAGAACAATTTTCCTCCGAAAGCCATCACTCTGCTAAACAAATAATTCCCTCAACACTGTCCAACTATTTACAAAGTCTGCACTACAATTAACCTTCTCATCACTCCTGATCACCCATCCCCTCCCACTTATGATTGTATAACTGCAACTTTGTCGCTTGTATCCTTACGATTTATATTGGCTGTTTCCTAATATGATTTGATTGCTTATTGTACTCTATGACTATCATTAAGTGTTGTACTTTATGATTCTTGATGAATCTTTTCTTTTATGTACATTGAAAGCATTTGCACCAAGACAAATTTCTTGTGTGTCCAATCACACTTGGCAAATAAAAGAATTCTATTCTATTCTATTCTATTCTATTCTATTCTATTCTATTCTAT